TGACCTATCTGACCACAAGTGTGACAGGTTCTTTGGGATGTTGGTTGGGGGTTTCGTCTGATTGTTTGTTGAGGACGTGTTTGGTTTGGTCTTTCGTTTTTTTGATGTTCGAAATAGGATAGTTGCATTTCTCTCTTAACTCTAACATGGGCTTCAAGTAGATCTGCCGGATTGGAGGCACGGATTACTTGACCTATTCGCGATTCTAGTCCGGTTAAAAGCGTGTTAAATGCCATTGTTTCAATTAGTGCGGATTACGCGTGTTTCTGTTCCGCACAAAGGACGGATTTTTGTACAAATGCGTGCATTTTGGCATTGTGGATTTGAAGGCGATTGAAAAATTTTAAAGGTGTTTCATTTGGAAGTTGTTTGATACGCTGGAGATCGTGAATCAATGATGTTATATCTCTAGAGTCTCCAAAATATAAATTTAATAAATGTTCAATTTCGGGATAAGTTTCAGGATTCCTTGAACGTATCAATTGTGCTGCTCTACCTCTAAGTTTGTTTTTGATGTGAATCACTAATAGATCGCGTTGGTCTGCTGTTGACATGCGATATGCACAATCACAAGCATTTAAGAAAGTGTTAAAAAATATTTGATCACCTTCGAATTCAGGAACTATTGAAAATATTTCCGATAACTTGTATGGTTCGATTGCTTCTGGTTCTGGTTGGTTTTGAGGCATTTTGATTTATCTTGACAAATTTTTGGTGTTCCTTCCGCTGCTTCCTCGAGTGATGACTCCTCAGGGGTTGTTGGTTCTTTCTCTGTTGAGGGATTAGAATCCGCCGCTACTAGTTAGGGTTTCCTTGTTCTAGCAACGTTGTCAGATCCTACAACTACTGCCCAATTGTTATATTCACTCTTTTGAATATGACTTTTTGAAAAACACTTTATTCTCAATTACAGACTTTCTTTGAATAACAACAAAAAATATCGTTACAAAAACTACAATGAAAAATGGAACAGGATCTAAGTTGATACTAAACGAATTCTAAATTAGTTCTGACAATGATTTGACCTCGCAGGGTCCATTTATAATTTGTAGACAGCGGTGTCAGTAGGAGACGATGGGAAATAACAAAAGTATCACGTTCTGCTGACTCTGCTGACTCAAAGTCTTGGAAGTCGTTATCTTGGTAATCTGATACCGGTGATTAGTTCTTAATCTACACAAAAACAAAAAAACGGCGACTAGTAGTAGCCATGTACATGATACTCGAAATAGGAACTATATACTCACAATACCTAGACCCGAAAAAAACACCCTAATGAGAAATTACACCTATTTGGCTCCTCGAAGCTGAACTGAAATTAGTAAATTCTATATATTCATTCCACAAGCAATTGATTGCCTGGATAAACACCCAATCACGGAAAAAAATCCACCAGTACATTGACCTGAAAAATCATTACTAGATAGACTGTCCCTTTGAGTGTAAATGTGTACTCGGAAAGCTAGTGAATGAAATCTCATAATGAATTTTAATGTAATCCTTCTCGAATTTTATTAATGTTGTATTGTGAATAGTCTTCATATAAGTGAGTATAATTATCATTAGGTGCTAGAATCAGTTCGCACAAAAGTGACTGCAGATTACACCCAAAAAATGTTCTTTAGCAGACCATGTGTTTTGTTTTGTTTGACCACCATATGAATTATAACTCAATGAAAGTGTTGACCACTGAATCAATCTCAGTAAAGAGGTCTTTTCTAGAAATGTCCTACATTTTTGACAACAATTGTATGAACAAAATAACAGACATTATTCACCTGAGTGAAATTTATTCCTACTTATTGACGCTAGACAAGAACTTTAACAATGATAATATCAATTTGATCAATTCTATTGTATAATTCAGATCTCAATTTTAATAATTTTGAACAAAACTAATTTTACATCAGAAACTAGAGTACAGTTGGTACTCCTAGTGACATTTAAGACCTTCTACCACATGTCAGTAGTCAATCTGTCATATTTCAAAATTCTAACCTGGAACTCGATCATTTGAATCTTGTACACACAATGTCAACGACGGCCTGAAAGAAATTTATTTTAACAAAAAAAAATGTTTCATCATTCAGAATTGTATATCAATTTTCATCTTCACCAGTGTCTCATCATTTCTTCTTCAACATTAGTGTAACCATGCTCACATAAGATGTAAGTCATGAGCATGTAATATTTTTGATTTTACTGTACAACGTATACCATTGTAGTTTCCTTCATGGAAATAAAATTTTCCGAACGGTTGGACCAACTCAAAAGAGTACTCATTTACTTGGCTATTTGTGGAATTGGGTTAGTTTGTTTTTTGAACGTGTCTGACCGAAAGTATCGTCTAAATGAAAAACTGTTATTGCCTTCCTTCAACATGATTACTTCAGTCGTTGATTCGGGAATGAGAATATAAACAAAAATCAACTAATGAAAATACTGTATTAATGAAGTTATAGATGGTATTCCATGATGAACGATATTTGTTTTTTGAATTGAGCCTGATATACATAAATGTCAAGTTAATTGTCAAACACATAATAAAACAGTCATTCAATTTGGTTAGCGATTTTAAGGAAAAAACATGAAATTTTACAATGGCGAAAAAGTGGAAATAGTTTTTTTGAAGTGTTTGATAAATGCTTTCAAATCTCTGGTAATTTATAAGAAATTGTATCCTGAACGACGACAACTCAATCATAGATATTTTCTTTTTTTTTCCTGATCGATTCGGCCGTTACTTGATGAAGATCCATAGTAATTTCAAAAACTACACTTCACGATTTGATCTCCACAAACATTGTGGAGATCAAATCGTGTAGTGTAGTTTTTGAAAAAAAAATTGATATTTACAACGTATCGAAAATAATTTTCGAAATTATGGATCCTTTAATAAGCCCTCCAGACGAAAATATACGGTTACTGAATATGGTGGGTATAATGAAATTGGCGTTTCAGGTTAGTTCATTCATTGAATTAGTATTTGTGGAAAATAAAAGAAATGAGAAAATGAAAGTATCCCTGAGGGATATTGCTTATAATTCGGCCATATCCACTACGTCTGCACGAAAATTTTAAAGAAAAATACATTCAAACTCGAGCCAGGAAAGCCCATCATTTGCATTTGACGAACTTCAAATAGGAAAACAGTTTTTGTAGATGGCTCAGAATAAAGAAATTTGCAAAAAGGAGTGTGGTGTGATAGATTTAACAATAACAGTGACAAGAAAATTAATATTTAAATAGAGTTACCAATTTTCGAGACGAATATGGTATCAACGTACGACTTGGTGTTCTTGATAATGAAATTATTGGCCCCCATTTTTTTGAAACATCTCTGACCGGAGAATTACACTTCGACTCCTTATCAGGGACTTCACTTGAGTTTCTAGAAGATTTGCCACTCAGCTCAATAAGAAAATATGGCTATTTTCAATACGACGACGCTCCAACACATCACAAGAGGATGTGCACTCAATAAAAAATCTGGTGTGACACCCAAGTTGACTTGTCAAGTTTCCATGTCGGCGTTGGTGGTTTCTCAACTTGACTATTACACCAATAAGTGGTTTCACTTATGTTTCGCTTGCCTTCACGACGTAGTGATTTTTATCAAGCCTTTGATTCAGTTTTTCACGATTTGTTTTCGATCGAGGATCGCCTACCCGGTACTGGTGAGCAAATCTTGATTTCCAGTTCTTATGTTTCTGCATAATTATCATTTTCAACCTCAAGTCCTGATTTCATTTCTATATTCTATATTTTTTTTAGTTTAAATTATAGTTTTTCGCATCTTATTCAAAAGTGATACTGTACGATATTATTATGAACGCCTTGGAAAAGAAATGACGAATCTAAATATATTTTTTCCATGATATGTATATATTCCAAAATTGGAGATGTGGGATGAAGAAGAACTTCAAAAAATCTTATTAGAGTGGAGTTTAAAAGAATGAGAAGGTCACAATAAAGGGCGTCAGATCATCTATCCACTATTTTCGTGTTGTGAATAAGAGAACATTTCAAACAATTCGTTTATTATGTTCTTTGTTTCAGGAATTCAATGACATATCTCAGGCATTTGCTGAATTTTTTTATTTGAATGTAGTTTCCTCATTCATTTGGTTCATTCATTTTTTTTTAATTGAGAATCACTTGTATTCCTAGTCAGCGGCCTTTGAGTTGAATTGATTTTGTATCTCCTTTCACTGAAAATCAAAGGTTCGGTTGGAATTTTTCTCTCTTTCGTTTACCATACTTTACCTGATGTTTGTTGATGTGGAACCAGATCCTTTGAATAATCCAGCAAGTCTTTCCGTGAAATCTTTTTTACTTCCCCCATGTAGATTCACCTGAAATTGATTTTAAGTTAATATTCTTTGAAATACATTTTTATCGAACAATAATTTTTTTTCATGATTCATTTGAATCCTCAACCTTACACAAGTTCGAAAATGAATAAATCTATATCAACAGATATGTGCTTGATTGTATGAAGGATCAACTGAAAACTCCACCTGAAAAGGTTACTGCCTAATACAGGACTATCCAAATTCGAATCTGTGTATAGGGAACTCGTGAACGGTGTGAGAAAAAAGGAGGTTGAATTGTGAGTAATTGGTTCAAGCCGATTTCAGAACCTCCCATACCACTTTTAAATGATCTCTACATACGTCACACAAAGTAGCCGAGGTGACTCAGACGTGGTGTTCCAAGTTTGACCTTGAACGACCTTGATCTTCGTAACACAGCGATACAGGCAAGGTGACTCTGAGGTAATGTTTTGGATTTAACCTTGAATGAACCTCATTCACTTCCCATGCAGCATAATGATGCATGTCCTCCAGCAAAACGACCCAGAGCGGATTCTGCCCAACCAAGTGCAGTCCAGGAATTGTACAACTATTGTTATAAAATGGTGCCTGTGACTAGGATGAATTCGCACCTCCAAACATTGGAGCATAGAACAAATTCCTGTACGGAATTTGAAGATGGTGTGAAAATCATCAACAGCGCATTCAAATATAGGATTAATTTTTCACAGATTATTTCAGGGATTTCAAATCAATGTATATCATATTAGACAATGGAAGTTCAAACTGATGAAATCCCCTTCGTAATATATGCTGATTTTGGATCAATTCTGAAGACTATACATACAAATGAACCAGATCCAACACGTTCATTCACAAAATAATCATTTATTCACGAGCCATACTCATTCTCATACCGAATTCGTTGTTCTCTCAATGATTCAGCCTCCAAATTTATTCTATATCGTGAGGCAGATGCTGCCAAAGTATTTGTAGCCAGAATGGAGTCTGACCTGAGCGACATCTACCATACATATTTGAATCGTATCGTGTCAATGAAGTCATTAACAGAATCAGAGAAGAATGAATTTTTAACTGATGATAGTTGCAGTATTTGTGAGAAACCCTTTGAATTGGGTGATGTCAGAGTGAGAGATCACTGTTACTTGAAGGAAGGAGAAGATATGGAGCTGCACATGCTCGATGTAATTTGAATTACAAGTTACCGAATTTCGTTCCAATAATTTTCCATAATTTGAGCGGCTATGACAAATTTGACTTGGCTTGTCGGCATGGCTTTTTGAGCAGCAACTTTTTCATAAAAGAGTCATGGACTAATAAGAACAAGGTCAATGTTATCGGTCAAACAAAGGAAAATTACATTTTTTCACTAAGCATCTATTGATGGGTACCATAATAGATAAATTTGGTGAAAAAAACAATTCCTAAAGCTGAGATTTATCGATAGCTTTAGATTCATGGCGTCAATACTGCAGCAGTTAGGGAAGAGCTTGTTAGATGATCAATGTTATGAAACACGAAAGTGTTTTCCGGAAAATCATAAATTTCTTTTGTTGAGACAGAAAGTAGTTTTTCACTACAGTTTTGTTAAAGATTTGACCACGTTAGATTGTACTGAGCTTCCATCAAACTCCGATTTTTATGATCTGACGATGATTATGAGAGGGCAAATCGTGTATGGTCCTTGTTCGAGTGTGGAACATTTGTATTTGAAATCAGATGTATTGATTTCATGCGATATTTTCGAAAATTTCCGTAATATATGCCTATATATGGATAAATAATATAATATATGGATAAATATAAATTAGATCCAGCCCACTATTTCACCTCTCCCGGCCATTCTTGGGATGCCATGCTCGAATACACCGGTGTAGAGCTGGAATTGCTCACGGATATTGACGTGATAACTTTTTTCCAAAAGGGCATTCGTGGGGGTATTAGTCAGTGTTCTGAAAGAAAGCATATTGCTGATAATCGTTTTCTGTCATATTATGAGGAAAATGAGGCATCATCCTTCATCACTTATTTGGACACTACGAACCTCTATGGTCATAGTATGTCCCAACCATTATCGACAGGTGGGTTTTCATGGCTATCCGAATTATTCAACTAGATATCCAGACGATGGTCTTAATGGTTATGTTCTGGAAGTAGATGTCCATTACCTTGAAGAACTCCACGACGCGAATTCGGATCTGCCTTTCCTTCTTGAGAGCGTTATTTCAACCGGTTCAAATTCAAAGATACCCAAAATAATACCTGATCTAAATGATAAGAAAAGAAACATTGATCATTATAGGGCCTTGAGGCAGGCAATTGAGACCTGAATACCCTAATGAGAAATCAAGCTACAAATGTTTATCAAAAAAATATTTTCAAGACAAGAACAAATGCTGTCTTTAGAAAAACAATGGAGAACGTTGATAATAGGAATGACACCCGTGTTAGGAATCACACGTTGAAAGGTAAGACTTCGTTAATCCTCAGCTCGCACAAGTATCGACTTCTGAGGGTTGTCGTTCGTAGGGGTGCGACAGCTGGCTAACGAAAAAACAGATTTTAAACAGATTTTTTTTGACTTATTGGGAGTCTATAAGGCGTGCAAATGCTCTCATTGCTCGACCAAATTTTAAAACACTTTCAATTTTCTCAGAGGACTCTGTCGCCATTCATATGGTTGAAATAAAAATAAATTACAATAAACCCCTATATCTTGAATTCAGTATTCTTGATTCATCTAAAACAGTTATGTATGAGTTTTTTTATTAGAAATTCGATACATCTAACTAAAAAGTTGAAAATCATTCTGCTATGCCTATAACTGAGCCAATATTGGGAAAAATGAAAGATTAATTTCCTCATGATCCAATTAGCAGTTTTTATGGTACCGGCACAAAAGCATATCATGCCAAACCCGTTAGTGACGAATTGAAGAAGGCAAAAGGAATAAAAAGTCGGTCATACGAAATCAAATGTCACTTGATGATTATAGGAAAATAGTGGAAACGTGTGGTGTCATATTGCGTGAGATGAGCACTTTTCGAAGTGAGTTACACGATGTGTTGTATGCTCTGATGTGTAATAAAGTTGCGTTATCATACAAGGATGATAAGTGATTCATCATCCCCAATACCAGTGGCAGAAATAAGTAGGGTGAGGGGAACTAACTGAAACTCCTTCCCCAAATGCCACTGCGAAACATGCCACCGTGGACCAGCCTACCCAAGCTAAGGTGTGAGGAATCGTGCCGACAGCTGAATGGCCGCAGGGTTATATGCGGTTACGAACAATCCCCTTGGGAAACTGGGCGAAACCTCATTGTAATTAGCCTTTCTTTGGTAATGCGGGGCTCTGCCAGAGGTGACCAACTCTTCCCTTGCTACTCGTGGGAACACACATAGATACAATAAAGGAAAAACCAACCAATCTCGAGGCTGGACAGAAATTCTCACCTCAATTTATGGCGGGGGCTGAGGATGAACAGAAATGTTCACCCCAATCTACCGCTCAGAATGAGACTGGACATAGCAGATCTCCTCGTGACGTAACACAAAGGACAAGGCGTAAGCTCATTTGCGGCACCGAGGCCAAAAGGAGAAAGAGAGCAAAAGACGCAGGAATAATGTCGCTGCACCTTCCAAAACCTTCGTAGAGGCTGCCTTGAGACATCTCAAGGTTACCATCATAGTAAAAAGCACGCCACTGGCACGCCAGTGGCGTGCTTTTTCAAGTATCTTCACTGTGAGAAAAATGGGTTAAGTACTGTGTAATAAATATGAAAAGGATTCAGAAGAAAAAGATATTGTCGTATTTGACTGCTGAAATGATGTAGTACATTCATCATGTACTTAACTTACAAGTACTGAACTTAAATCAGGTCGATGCATTACCTATTTCTGTGATCAATGTAGGAATAATATCAAGCAAATGCCTAAACTCATAAAACAGCTAAGTGATATTACGAAGATAAATAGAATACTTCAAGAGGAAAATGAAAAATTGCAAAAAAAGTTGATGACATGAGTGTATTCAACTCTCATTCTGACATTGAATCTAATTTGCTTGGAAGTGAAGATCTAATATCAGAAATTATAGACAGACAATCACGAGCGGCCAATATTATCATTCATAATGTAAATGAATCTCAGGAAAACCTCCACATCGAAAGATCAGCACAAGAAAGAGAAACCATAAATAATATACTGCAGGATTCAACGTCAATAAGGAAGAAATGAAACATATCAGATTCCGAAAACCAACAATTAACAGAAATCCACCCATCAAGGTTATTTTCAAATCACAAGATGATGCCAGACATATATTCAAGAATAAACAATTAATAAAAATACCCAGTATGACGACTTGTTTATTTTGTGGAAATTCATGTTCACTGAGGTCTATTTTCCAAGATATTGTATCGTGGAAAATAGACAAAAGTGTGTTTTTTAGTGACCCAGTATGAAAATATCTAATGACCGAACTCCATAACAAAGGGACTATTTCCGTAAAGTGAAATCTAAATTGGATGAAATTATTGCAGCAGGGGATAACAATAGGACCATCAAATATACATATAAATGAAAAGCCCACAATTGTAAGAAACGAAAATTTCAGTCATGTGAGAAATAACTAGTAAATAACCCTGATATATCAGTTGAACAGTGATATCATATACCTCAATGCACAAAGCCTACTGAAACATAAATCTGAAATTCAAGAAAGTATTGTTTTTTATGATCCAAAAGTTATTCTATTGAGTGAAACCAGAACAACTGAGTATATTGAAGATGTGGAACTTATAATGGACAATTATACTTGCATCCGTTGTGATTCAAAAAATAGAATACTGGTGGCGTTGTCATGTATTAAATAAAAAATTCATATTGGAATCGAACTACTGGTGTAAAATTAACTTCAAATCTTCAAAATGATTGATCGAATGTTTATATCAGTCACCTCTAGTTCTCATGCAACTTTTTCAAATGAATTGAGAGGGTTATATTTTTAGGAGTGATTA